CATAACCCAAGGCTGAGATTGGATCCAGCAACCCCAGTACCCCACAGTCAGTTGAGAGCTCTGGCAGGCACCACCCTTTCCCCACTCCCCTGTGCCCAAAGACCCCCATGGGACCATCAGACCTGCCAGACCGCCCCCCCTTTTCTACCCTTCTACCTGTTCCTTCCACTTATCCATGGTCCTCTCAATCCACAGCCCCTGCCAGATCATTCTAGGGGTCTCAACCCCCACATTTTTCCCTCCTCTTCCACCCCTTCCACATCATCCTCCCATCCCCCAGCCCCCTCATGCTCAGTTTTGGGGGTCCCACCCTGTCCTTTCCCCACTCTTCTGACCTCTCCCACCCATTCCCCATGAACCTCAGTCCCCCTCAACTTTTGGGGGGGTCCCTCTCCCCTCCCACTCAGTTTGGGGTTCCACCACCCCTTTTATTCCCTCTGACACCCCTTTTCCCACCGACCTCCCCCTTCCCACCCCCTGCTCACCCGAGAGCTCCTCACCCGCAGCCGGGGGGGCTCCCAGCACCCCCACTGCCCAGAGAAGCCCCCCCCGAAAAGGGGTTGGGTGGGGTCCTGGGTGGGCTCTGAGTGTGTTTGGGGATCCTTGAGGGGCTATGAGGAGGTTCTGGGGGGGTCCCAGCACCTTTTGGGGTGAGCTGGGTGCCTTTTGGGGGATTTGTGCCCTCCCAAAGCTCCCCTAGAGCGGGTGACACGGGGGGAACACAGGAGGGTCCCCATTCCTGATCCATCCCAGGGCCGGTTCGGCCCCCCCAAACTCGGCTCCACCCCTTGGGATCCTCCAATTCCCCCCCAATGCCCCCCAATAACCAGGGCTGTGGCAACTGGGATCATACTGGAAGCTACTGGGAGCAACTGGGAGTGAGTGGGACCACACTGGGGGCAATGGGGATATACTGGGAGGGACCAGGAGTGACTGGGATCATACTGGGACTGACTGGGAGCAGGCTGATGTCGACTGGGAGAGACTGGGAGTGACAGGGATCCTACTGGGAAGAACTGGAACTGCAGTGGGTGAGGGGGAGCAAGTGGGACCCTGCTGGGGGCAAATGGCTTTATACTGGGAGTGACAGGGAATGTCTGGGTTCATCCTGGCTGTGACTGCCACCATG